ACCAGATTGGAAACTATTTCTTTTAAGAACACATTTGAGATCAAATAACATTTGGATAAAGCTGCATCTCTAAGTAATTGCAATCAGCTCTAGCCACTTATTCTAGAATTACTTAAACAGATGTTCTTTTTCTCCATGAAAATTAAATAATATATTGAATGTATATCTATGGTGTTTTCTTTTTTTTTTCTTGGTGTTAATTTTTAAAGTAATTTTTGCCTTCTCCCACCCCCACTATCTGCTGACCTCCACAAGGCTAAGGTCATTATATATTAGGGAATACTGGAGGTAAATATATATACAAAGTGATAAAGCATACAAGAGAAAGTAATACAGAGAAACATGTAGGCTAGCAACTATCTTTATACATATGTAACACTGAGAGGCTATGGTTTTGGTCAGACTGAGTGGTATATATTGTATGTGAGAGTATTATTCACCTTTTCTTTATTACATAAAAACACCCAAACTATCAGGACTGAAAAGTGTCAAAAATCATTTGTTGATAGCAGCGACTAATTCCCATATTAATTGGAGGTTGGGGTCCTCTCCTGACTGATTCATTCTGCAACCTACTGATCACACATGGCAATAGTTGGTTACTAGTAAAGATAAATATGGCAATCTGAAATTAATAATGTATGTTAATATCTTATGCGTGAAGAGGAAAAGTTGCTGTAGAACTTCCAGTGCTTTCGACTGACCCTTTTTCCTTAGATCCAACATAAGCACCAATAAATGAACCATCTTCATTAAACATCCCTTGGTCCCCTTCTCCATAATCTACCAAACTATCAGCACTTTCCGTAGCTTTAATGTCCCCGTTAAGTGACTGCAGGCTGCCTTTGAGTGGCTTCTCATCGCTGTCACTATGAAATAAAGAAAAATCTTCCCAAAATCTAGTTTTGTATTACAACAGCAATTATTCATTTCCTTTATCAAATAAACAGATATATTGAAGAAAGAGGGAACTGGATACATTTTGATTGGGATAGTTTCAGAACATTGCTCACAACACAGTATTCCCTTGTTTCCAAGTCAAGTCAATAAATATGGTGAACCTGGTGTACCCAGCTCTGTGCATTGTTTGCACTTTGCAATTTTTGTTATTTTGAATGTAATGGAATAGGTAAAAAACAAAACAAAAATTGCAAACACTATTGAAAAGAATGCATTGCGAACAGTTTTTGTTTTGCCCTTTTTTCCCCCCCTTCCTGTCCTTTTTTCTTCTCTTGCCATTTAAAATGGAGGCAGGGGCTACGGATCAAAAGGAGGAGGAAGGAGGAAAAAATAAAAGCTGAAAACCAGCTGTACTGATTCATCATTGCATCTTTCTTTGTTCCTTAAAAAGAGGCATTAAGAGTCGGATTTTACAAAGCACAAACCCAGCTGTGGGGTCCATTTGTTTCACCTGGTCTATGGAGTAGAGAAGATAGATTGAAGTAAAGGCTGATGTTTGGGGGTATTGGTATTTTATTGTGCCCTGATCTTTGGTGGAAGGGGAGAACACTTATCTATCTTTAAATGATTGGTCTGGTGCTAGGTAAGCACTTTTATTTTTTATGAGTAATAAATACAATAACTAAAAATACACTTGTGCATATCTATCTATTTGACACTTGCTCATACATAATCCACATTCATTCATTGTGACACTATGTTCCCATCTAGGGACACCTGGACTGATGAGCCTATTAGCAGCTTTGGATAAGAGAGTTGGTTCTCTTTTGCTTTCAGATGTAGAAGTGCCAGATTTGACTTCAGTGCTAAAGACCCATCTGGGGCACAGAATTACATAAAGCGGGTAATTGTATATGTGCAAACAGGTAGGCCTCTAGACAGCTGCGCTCCACAAACACTAATCTGTGCACACAATTGCAGTTACTGCACTTGCCATAATGGATGTGGATCTTGACTCATCAATAATATATTGGGCCCAAACTTCAAATATATTGTATCATTTGTATTCAGTAAAAAGAGACCATAATTTCCTTTACACTAGAGTTATTTGAGAAGATTCTTGTGTTTGGCTGCTCTGGCTTCTCACTTAATTCACCACTTAGTATTCCCTGGTCCCATGTAGGGTTTGTGGCGGGATTACACCCACAGATGCAGGGATGTTGGCAAACCACACTCTCATCAGATGCACTTCAGGATTAGGGAGCCACAAAGGACCCACACACTGCATTTGTGCCAAAGGCACCCTAAGCAGATCAGAGCTCTCGGCCTTTACCTTTGCAGCAGAGCTGGTTGAAAGATATCTCCCTTTTTCCATGAAAAGGGGGACACTTATTTTGCAATATTTTTCACAAAGGATCTGTTCCATTTTTCAACTAACTCCATCTTTATAAAATGATGGCACCAATTCTGAGTGTATCCAAGGAAAGTCGTATTTATTAACATGACAGGAAAGCAAAGTCTTGTCTAGGGGAATCTATCAGCATTAGTGCATTGGTTACATTGTAACATCTCTAGCAACAAACTCTTAATATATATGAAAGAATGATTCAATTAAGTATTACAAGATGCCTCGTATTATTTGGAAAAAGCTATTTTTAATAAATGTAAGCTAATCTATATTAATTAAAATCCTTTTTTATTAGACATGCCAAAATAGTAAATAAGACAACACTAAATAACTAAGAAACAGTCAAAAGAGGCAATTTACAATGGGAACCTGTACAAAGCTGCTACAAAAAAAAAGTGCTTGAAACAGAGAAGTTCTAAAGAAAATGGTATCTTCTGACTAAGGTATTCAAGTGGAAATGGCATGGGACATCCCATGAGATCTTGCAATGAGCTTGTCATTGTATATTCTGGAAAGCCCAGCATTTCCTGTCTCAACAAAGCTGGGAATTTGTCACAGAAGTTTCCCATCTGCCACAAGATATAAGTAATATTACCAGAAACTCTTATACTATGAAAAATGGACAAAGAAGTACAGGTAATAGCATTTTTAGCCAAATGTTATGAGTTTAACTGGAATCCCTGAGTCTTTAGACAACTGGGCCATATTCCTGCTCTCATTTATGCCAATGAGATCAATGGAGTTTCACTGACTTACAGTGAAGAAAGTGACATCAGAATATGTCCATGTATATCTATAGGATATTTACGTCTCCTGAAAAGACATTTATGTCCAGTAAAGTAAATAATCTGATGTACATATGCAAACACATAATGGTCAAGACTGACTATACTCAGTTATATGGTTCTCTTACAGTGTGTTTAGGAGAACCAATAAACAAATCCAACTTACCATGGCTGCACATAAAAATTGGGTAACTTGTGCACAACTTCACCCAACTATCTCTCAAGATGTGAATGCAATGGCACTGTGCGCTGGTCACCTCCTTGTACTGCAGCCTCAAGAACTCAGCTATCTTCTCCCTCTAGCTCCATTTAAATGCTATATAGAGACTGTCACACATTGCTCTGTTCCAAGTTCAGATATTCAGGATTGGCATAAAACTACACATTTGCCTCTCTCAGACCAATGGGTTGAAGTGTTAAGCATCTCCTCCAAGCTGGGATCAGTATTTTTTAATTCAATTTACATCAATGGGAGCTGAAGTTGGTAGGCACCTCACGGGAGGTGCTCATACTGCCACAAGATTACTTACTATATTTTTGTAAGATACTAACCTATTAGTTTACATTAATCAGTCCCACTCTGTTGAAGTCAGTGGAACTGAAAGTCATTAGAATCACAAAATACAAAGCTCTTGCAAGTATGTTGTCATCCTTCATGGAAAAAAATAACCAAAGAAAAATGGAAAGTGGTTGTAGATGCTATAAAAATCTTCCCAATTGTTGGACCAGAGTTGGGCCCCTAACGTAAAAGTTCAACTCTGCCACCCTCCCTTAGCTCAAATTCTTACTAAAGTTATTAGTAACATTGACTGAATAAAGATTCCAGTATCTGGCCCCCAAATTTGTCTTTTCACACTCTGTATACAAGAAATTTTGTTGCTCTTTTCCCCCATATATAATATTTGTATTTCTAGAAAACAGAAGCTGAAATTGGGGGGTAAAAGTTGCTAACCACATGGCGTTCGTACCTTTCTAAATATCTGTCCCATTAGAAGGCATTAAAAATTAAATAAAGATGAAATTATACAGGAAAAACCCTTATTCTTTGTAAATAATCCACTGTATATATTGGATTTAGCCAGTAATTTTTGTGTTTGAATGCTAATAAGTATGCCAATATGGCTTCACACAAGGGTGTATTTTTCATATAACAATGTAAATATAATATAAATTAATAATATAAATATATAATGCAATTAATTAACCTTTTTAGTCTTGAATGCAGCCAATCTTATAAACTACTGTACTATTTATTACTTATTTGCTATTTTTTATCCTTTTAATTCTCTCTTTTTCTGCAGATGAACCTCCATGTTACAAAAGTCCCAATCAAAATCCATTGGAATCAATGAGAGCCTTTCCATTGACTTCAATGGACTTTGGATCAGGCTCAATATTAACATTATTTTTATAGTGCTAAATGAGTAACAGATGGACAAATAGGGCTACTCCATCAAAAAAATACCTATGTCCAAACTTGGGTGGATTAAAATGTTCTGGATATATCTTTACATTCATATTATCATCCACTCCCATGGGGTTTGCTTTGAAAATGAAAAAAATAGTGTTAGTAGTATGATATAATAAAACACATTCAAGAAATACTTGTGAAGATATTTTTAAAAACATGTTCTGTAGTAGATCATATTTACCTATATTCTCCAAAGATCTCATCTTTTATTGATTGAGCTTCAGGATCTGGATGCAAATCCTCTTTTTCTTTCACTGTACAAATGAAAGAGAATAGATCTGTTTACCAGGATGTTTCCTGTATCATTTTTATTCCTGGCAGGTTCTGTTGGAAAACTTCCCATTCTTATCAAGATCTGGAGGGCAACAACTTTAGTTATATGTTTGCATTGCGCAAAGTAGAATGTTTTCAAGAGGTGTAGAAGAAGGTAGCTGACTAATTCCCAAGAATCTTAGTAAGAGTTTTGCAGCTAACTCCTTGTATGTTGCTATGAAAATGCAGCTCTTACACTTTGTTTCACTAAGACACATTTCTTTCTTTCAAGCAGGAATAAGAGATCCTTTGGAAAAGGCTTTATTTTCCGGAGAATAACGTCTAGACTGGCGCCTTTCTCTGTCTTTTCCCCAAGCCGGAAAAAAGCGGCAGCCATGTTAATGCAAATGCCGTGGGGGATATTTAAATCCCCCGCGGATTTTCCTATTCCAAAGTCTACATTAGCATCCCTTTTCCGGAAGGGATGCCAGTGTAGACACAGCCAAGGTGTGTGGGTTACATATGGACATGCTCTTTTAAGGAATTTTGGTCCCAAATGCCCATTTAAATCAATGGGAAATAGGCATCTTAATTACCTTTATAAAAATCTGGCCCTGTATGTACAAGAAAGGGCCACACTCATGCAACTGGATCCCCTAGCTTGGTTCCCTGCTTTTATGTACTGCTCAGTGAATTAAAAAAAATATCACAACTACTGTGAAAAAACATAGGGTTTTTGTCTATACTTACCAGAGGGTCAATGCTCTGGAGATAGATCATCAAGAGTTTGATTTAGTGGGTCTAATAAAGACCCGCTAAATTGAATGCTGAGAGTGCCCCTGCTGACTATGGTACTCCTTGCAATCACGAGAAGTAACATACATCAACTCCAGCTATGCAACTGTTGTAGCTGTAATTGTGTATCTTACACCAATTTCCTCCACCAGTGTAGATTTGGCCATATAGGGTTGCATTGTAACCCTGCTTGAGTAAGGGGCAATGTACAACATTTTAATATTAGCCTGTGGGTATAATGAAAATTATTGTAGTGTCTAATATTCCCATGGCACTTAAATTTCATTTCCATGTCTCTTCTCATATCTAATATTCCCATTGTTTAATTGTATTAATTGTTTAATACAAAATCTGGAGGAAAGTGGAACGGAGATTTCTAATGGTGCAGCTCGGACAACCAATTAATGCAATGCTGGATGTACTCGGAGGACATTAAAAAAGGCAAAATTCACATCAAATTACTGACAACTGAGTGGGCCTGCCAGGACATAATCTCAAAATTACCATGTGTAAGACACTGGATCAAAAGTGACCATCTATCAACTTGGAGACCCATTCACTTCTATTATACAGATTCAGGGCCTAAACAGAAATTGCTTTCTGAATCACATGTAAAATATCCTCACTAATGAAAATGAAACCCATAGGGACACTCTGGGGCATGAAATCACTTATATTTCTAAGCAGAGAAAAGTTATTCAGATATTAGCCAATGACAAGATTGATAAAAGAACAAAAGAATTGACCAGAAATGTGGAGATCTATTCGATGAGATCCCTCTTTCATCCCTAAAAGGGCCAAGAGTGGTGCAAAAGCTTTCTAAAAGCCCTGGTGCTGCTTTGAAGATAATCGCTAGTGCAATCAGAAGAGAGAACAGCAATAAATCTGCCTCCCAGTGACCCCCTCACAAGACATGGATCATTTTGGGAACAGAACCACCATGTGATGGGCTGTATCACACAGCACCATGGATATCCTGAGTAGTGTAACAGCATTCTAGGGTAGCCAACTTTCTAACTGCACAAAACTGAACACACTTGCCCAATCTCCTGCCCCCCCCTTCTCAAGAGACCCAGCCTACTACTCACTCCTTCTCCAATCTCACAATTGTTTGCTCTCCCCTATCCTTACTCACTTTAAATGGGCTGAGGCAATGCCTGGCTTGCAGGAGGGGATGAGGGCTCTGACTGGGGAAAGGCGGTGGGCTCTGTGGTGGGAACAGAAATGATGGGTTCAGAGTATGGGATGGGTCTTAGGGCTGAGGCAAAAGGGGGTGTGGCCTCCTGCAAAGAGCTTGGGTGTGAGAGGAGGCTCAGGGCTGGGGCAGCAGATTGGGGTGTGGGGTTCAGGCTCTAGAAAGAAGTTTCAATGTAGGAGGGAGCTTGGGGCCAGGGCATGGGGTTGGGCTCCAGATGAGCATTTCTTATCAAGGTGGTTTCGTCTGGCCCCTAGAAGCAACTGGCATGTCTGGCTCTTAGATGAAGGTGTGGTTCCCAGG